TTCCTTGCAGTCAGACAGCTACACAGTGCCAATATTTTAAATACAGCATACAGTTAAAAACTATTCAATATCCTTCAATATCACGGTTATTTTATCGGAAAAAATCATTTAAAAACTTGAACCTTTCCTCTCCTCCCCTACCATCAATCATTCCCAAACTTCCAGCTCCAGCATCAAACACCAGAGTGACCTCTGAACCGTATCCCCCAGTCGCCTACGAGGGCTCCTGTATTGAACTGAGCTGCAGCGCCACAAAGGGCTCCCACCTCTCCTACACCTGGTTTTTCAACAGAAAGGAAGTAACTTCTTCAACCTCTCCTCTCTTTCACCACACTGGGAACAAGCTAGTGATGGGGAAGGTGACTCCAGAGCATGCTGGGTACTACTCTTGCATGGCTTGGTCCATTGTGCAGGACACCAGGAGGTTCTCAAGCAGCTTTGAGGTCAAAGTGACAGTCAAAGGTATACATCAACAAAAGTATATTAAAAGAATACCTGCTTGATATTCTGTTTAGTTTAGTTTCACTGCAGCCTAACATGTATTGTATATTCTCCTCTCCACCAGTCTATGTTTCAAAACCAAGGATCTCTTTCTCCATCTCAAATCCGGGAGCCAGTCTCAGTGGCAACGTGACCTGCTGGTCAACAAGAGGGAGTCCTCCGGTCAACATCTCTCTTCTACTGGATGACAAAGAAGTGGGATCAGTCACAGCTACTGAATCCCTTGCTGCGTGGTTCTCCGTCGCTGTGGTGCTGGGGCTGGACATGGGCACTGTTCGATGTCTGGTGAACACTGAGGTGCAGAAGCTGATGAGTGAGCCTCTGACTCTGGAAGTGGGTATGAGCTACACCGACATGTCAAAGAAATGTGTCTCTCTGTGATGGCCTACCCTTTTTGGTCTTTTTAATATTTACGTTGTTTCCCTCCCCTTGCTTGTCCAGTCCCAGTCGGAGGTGCTGTGAAAGTCGAGGTTGAATATCTCTACAGAGCTGACTCCAAACTGACCGCTGCCAGGCTGAGCTGTGGAGTCAGCAGAGGAACTTTCCCTGAATACTCCTGGCTCTTGAACGACTCTGTCCTCCCCCCTGAGACTCACAGGGACTCCCATATTCAGCCCGACCCGCCTCACTATGCCCTAACTGACCATAGACGGATCCTCGTTCTGCCTAAGGTTGGACCAGAGGAGTCTGGGTATTACCGCTGCAGGGCCAGGGACAGCTACAATGACTCAGGGCACTGGCTGGAGAGTGAGGCCGTGCAGGTCCAAGTCACAGGTAAAAAAAATAGATCTAGACTAAGTGTGCGAAAAATCTTGGTGTCCAAAAAATGTATAATCAAGAAATGGTTTGACATTTTGGGAAGTGTGGTTATCTTTATTACATGATGATTCAACCCAGTCTTACGGCATTTCGTGTTATAGTCACAACATTTATTTAATCTATTGATTCGTGTTCACCAACACGATTTTCGCATTTTTTCGATTTTTCCATTTTAAAAGCAATGTATTTCTATTGGTATGTTAGTATGTTTCGTGCCTGCACCACGTATTTTGGTACGGTCGGGTCTTGGAATACCAGAAGCTGTGTGTGTGGTTCATAAAAACATTTTCTTACTCAATATCTTACCATAAGCCTAACCCTATCCCTTTTATTTTAAATTGTATAATGTCAGATTTTTTTTGTCTTCCGCAAAAAAAGGAAAATAAATGAGGCTCAGATCCTCAGAATACTGAAATCTGTATTTTTTTGTCATCTTTTTTTCCTTTTTAAGTTGTTATTATTTGGTGCAGGCACGAAACATACTAACAATAGAAATACATTGCTTCTAAAATCGTTCTGTCAGAGTACTGAAATCTGTATTTTTTGTAATCTGTTTTTCCTTCTAATAATTTGTTATTATTTACGTAGCTTTTAAAATCGTTCTGTGTGACACGAAAAAAATGGCGAAATCGTGTTGGTGAACACGAATCAATAGATTAATTTCGTGACTATAACATGATAATCAACGCGATATGCCGTGAGACTGTTTCGGATGATTGGATTGATATCATCCTCATGTTTGTCTGGTAAATATGCCTCCAGCAGTCCATTAGCTTATCTCAGCAAAAAGACTGGAAACAAGGGGGAACAAATAGCTCATCAAAACGGCTATACTGGTCTGTCTTGGCAAGGTGACATAGTGGAGTCACTATGAGGTCGTCAAAAAGTGGAGAAGAGAATAATTGAAATCGTTTGAATTCTTTGTTCAGGTTAAACTAACGAGACAACATATTAGAGGTACCAGCAGCTGAAGTTTATGACCTTTGGTATAGCCAGGTTAGCTGTTTGCCTCCGTCTTTAAGCTAACCAGCTGCTAGCTCCAGCTACATAATTAGCATACTTATGGTTCGCAGTGGTATGACTCTTTTTGCGTAACTTTTTACTTGTGTGACTTGAGTTAGTAAATATCCTACTGGCTTGAAGTTGTTGGAAATAGCTTTGCGAGATAAAATGATTTGAGATAGAAGCCAAGATGGTCTTGTTTCTTTAAACTCGTAAGTAAAATGAGCTGCCTTGCTATGTCCTCTGTTGTTGCACTTGCTTGATGCGTTGCTGTGTTTAGCTAGTTCATCTCGTCAATCTTAACGCCAGTGATGTAAGCGAACTGCTTTACTTTATGGTTGCCAAATTGCCAAAACACCTAATCTTGCTAAATGTTTTTTCTAACATGTCACACGTGCCTTTGTAAAATGTCCTCTTTGTGTGGGATTTCTGCACTAGTTAGTGTACCACATCACCATTTTTTACTCTTGATCAGGCAGGATCCTCAACTGCATGCCTGAAGCAACATCTTCCACTGAAACACCATCACGTAAAAATCCCATATTATGTATTTAAATGTCTTACATGCTGCCCTGCAGTTTGTTATACTTCAGTGACCTTGTCCCTTCTCTTCCATAGAGGTTTTCATGAACACCATTGAGATCCTCACCATTGCGTTCTGCTGCTTTCATTTTGTGACATTGGCAGTTGCCCTGGGCTGCATATACAAGATGTTCGACCAGAATCAAGGTATTTGTGTGTTTTGTGTGTGTGAGGGAGAAATAAATAAAAATCAGTTCATTTATATTAATTGTTTTTGTGTCTTCATCCTTCTTTTATTTACAGATCATGACCAAGTTGCTATAATAGGGTACGTTTTATCTTAATGGACCTCACAAGGTTTATTGATCTATAACTCTTATTAACCTGTTCAACAATGTTTGTGACTTCTCTCCCAGTTTTGACACACTTCCTCTCTCTGCATCCACGTCCAGCGAACAGGACGGACCTTTGTCCAGAGACTTGGTTGTTCAGAATCAGGTACATTCTGACACAGACCTAACATAAACACATAATTTTAAATTAATGAATTATGACACATTGTCCAGTATTTCTTTATTTGAAATAGATCTCTTAGTTTTCTATCATTTAATATGTATGCCTGACATATGATTAATAGGTTTTATAGGAAAAATGGACGAAGTGTTTAAATGTTAAACTTCCAGTTGATCTCCCGGGTCCATTTTCTCCTAAAAACTCAAAATTATACAGAGGTGGGAGAAGTACTCAGAGTTTGTACTTGAGTAAAAGTAAAAGTACCAGAGTGTAGGAATACCCTGTTACAAGTCAAAGTTGTGCATTCAAAATGTTACTCAAGTAAAAGTAGAAAAGTGTTTTCATCAAAATATACTTAAAGTACCCAAAGTAAAAGAAGTCATTATGCAGATTGGTTCATTTCAGAATAATATATATGATATGTTTTGATTATAATTATTGATTAATTAAAGTGTTATCGCAGCTGGAAAAGGTAGCTTTGTATACTGCAGGGTAGCTTCTGAATTTACTCCAGGTGTAACTAAAGTCTGATTTAAGTGTTGAACATTTTTCACATCATTTATCAAAATCTGCAAAGTAACTAAAGGTACAAAATAAATGTAGTGGAGTAAAAGGAAACACGAGTTACCTCTGAATTGTAATGGAGTAGAAATACAAAGTATTTAAAAATTGCACTAAGGTACAATCACTGTAAATCAATATTGAATTACTTCTTGATCCTTCGAATAAAACTGCATTGACCATCTCTGTATGCTGAAATAAAGTGACATTTTGTTTTTAATACATAAGACACAGTGTGTCCAATGTATAACTCTCTTCCCTCTCTGTTTTAGACCGTAGAGACCACAATATGACACAGGAGGATCATATCACCCTTGTTAAATTTGTCATCCCTTCATGCTAATTTTGTATTTTCTTTAAAAAAAATATCTGTAACTATATATTGTTCTGCAGGTATGGTGACAGTAATGACTAAAAAGGTGTAACATTCATTTAAAAAGAGTGACAGATCATGTTTAAAGCACAATTGCTGTATACTGCCATGTGTTTACAAATAAAAAATGTAATTTTAAGTGAAGTTTGTTTTTTGTTTTCAGTCAAAGCAATAAAATCAATTATGGTTGATAACACCTTTAACTTTTCATATTGCCTCTGACGTATGTTGTTTTGATATAAATATAACACCACTGACTATCTCTTTTGATGGTACGAGGGAGGGTACTGCAGGGGTGTCGTGTGGCACTATCAGCTATTTGCACATGTTTCTAAGTGTGTGTGTGTGTGTGTGTTTTTTCACTCACACTCCAAACTGTCAGACCTCTTGCATATCAACGCGTAATAATTTTTTAGGTACAAATTAATACGTTTTCTTCAAGAATGTCTGCTTCCCTATTTGTGGTCATACTGGGTAAGCTACTCACCACACACTGGTCTTCATTACATTTAAAATGATACGACTACAAAACCATTTGTTTTCCCTCTCTCTACAGGGTTGTTTTGCTGTAGCAAGGAGAGCAGTAAGTCAGTTGTATTGTTATTGTATGCTCAGTTACTACAAGTGCAAATGTGTGACTCTATTTAGTCTTTACAGTGGTTGTGCATTCTTTCAAATGTATCTTGTATTTTGATAGGTCAGTCAATCCTGGGGCGTCCAGAGCTTATGGGCCCTTCAGTGGCTTTGGTGAAAAGCATTGCTAATTTTCATTGTAAACTGGAAATCTATCCGAAGAATGTAACGATCCTGCTGCAGTTATTTAAGTGAGTTTTGTTCATATTATATCTAACCATGGCATTAATATTCATTAAGTATTGATAGCAAATCCCTAACAAATATCAACATCTTCCAGGGAGGGTGACCGTGGCAAGGAGTTGGGCTTTTACACCTCCCTGAATGGGGTGGTTGCAAACTTCCCCATTGTAGTTAAACCTAACCATGAGGGCAACCTGGAGTGTGTGGCCAAGGCTCAGAACAACTCTGACATAGAGCCCACTGTCAGCTACACTCAGTACCTGAAGGTCCTTGGTGAGTGTCTTTATTACCAGAAATATATCATGTGTTGCAAAATGGCTTCCCTGTTACAGTAACCTAATTAAGCGTTATTCGTCTCAGCTTGGGCATTTTGTTCGTATGTATTTATAATTGTTTCTTTACTTTAATTGTAAATTGTTTCCAATCAAGACTTTGAACTGACATTATTTTTTTCCCACAATGTTTTAATTAAAATTTTTATAACACATAAGCAAGAATAAAAACAAGAGACATAAAAAAAATCATGCTTCATCCGTATAACAAATCATATGAAAACCTTATGCATAAAAAGAAAACACAAAATTCAGATCCTTTACATAATCATTGAAGGGCCTCCATACATTCTCAAACACATGCTGTCTGGACCTTAATATAAGATATCTTCTCCAATGGGAGGCCTGACAGCATCCGTCCCAACCAATGAGTGATGCTCTGGCTGTGAGCCTTTTTCCAAAACAATGCAATACAGGTTTTGGCATAGTAGAGCAAGCTGAGGTTTATAAATGTTCGCTCATGTTTACTATATTTATGCTTTTCTGGATACAAACTGAACAGAAAAAACTTTGGATCCAGTCAAATCTGCTTTGAAAAGATCTTCTCTACTGTACCTTGTACCTCTTCCCAGAAGACCTTAATGTTCCCCTTGATTCTGAGCATTTTGTGCATGTATATGGTATTTTTTTGTTGTATCGGTTTAATCAACACATTTGTTCGCATCAACCATTTATACTGTATTAGTTTCAGTCACGTATTAATAGACCTGATATAAGCAGCAGTGCAAGCCTTTTTCCAATCTTCATCTGAAACTTCAGTCTGCAGGTTGTCCTTCCATGCATTTAACCTACAAGGTGAATTCTCTAATGAGTATGATGAGAGCATATCATTGTTTCATTACTTTAACTGCAAATTATTTTTGATTGAGACTTTTACCTGACATTCTTAGAGCAGCAGTATAACTAGCTATACATTCAGACACTATATATCATTTAAGAAATATTATTGTATATCTGGAATAAGAATTATTTAGGGTTTACCTTTTTTGTGCTCTGTCTTTCCTGCAGAACCGGTGAATGAGGCAGAGATTGTTGTCAGTTCAGGTCCAGAGGAGTTTTTTGAGGGGAAGAGACTGAATCTTTACTGTAAGCCCCACGCTGGAAATCATGTCTCCTACACGTGGCTGCTGAACGGTCGGCTTGTCTCTCCGTCTCGTCTCCGCTATGTTGTTGTTGATGACCATCTCTCGATCTACAGGTCAGTGTATTCCTATTGAGATTGTCTACAGCTACTATCTATTTATTTGGTATTTGGATAACTATTCTGTACTGTGTAGTGACTGCGTTTAGTACATACATCAAACTAGTTCCGCACAGAGTGGTTATTGATTGTGATGCTTTCGCTACGTTATGGTAATGGGGATTCTGGGTAGTTGTCTGGGTGTTCTGTTATCATGAAAATGTTAGATGCACCTTGGTTAAGCAACTTCCTGTGGCCTCTGATTCATTTCCCATCTCTCCCATACTTTTTCATAAAGGCTGCTTATTTATAACTCAACGAGTAAAAGGAAATCTGTTGAAATGATTTCTGTGTTACCCTCAGAACTACATCTGAAGACAGTGGCTCCTACATTTGTATTGCCACCAACCACTTTAACGAAACAGTTGTCTTCTCCAGCAACAGCTCTGAAGTGGTAATCACAGTCAAAGGTTAGCTGTTTTTTATTATCTCTCAGGTTCAAGTTATGATATTGCTCTTTGAAAGATAACATTCTCCTCCATCTTACTCCCTCAGACCTTGTGTCAATCCCTGACATCTCCTTCACCGTGTTAAAGGAAGATTCCCACAACTATTCTGCCGTGGTCGCCTGTCAGACCGCAAAAGGGTCTCCACCTGTCACCTTTTCGCTATACAACAGGACAGAATTGGTTGCCAATACGACGGTTGATGATAGAAACGCCACATTTAAGCTCCCATTGGTCTTGGACCGGCCAATGGGATGGCTCCAGTGCCAGGCAAACAATGGAGACCGGATTGAGTACAGTCAATGGATTCCCCTAGAAGTGGGTATGTGATTTGTTTGAAACTGCTGACACAAAACTGTGGTACTGACTACTTTCTTTTAATGTTCATCCATGGCGCCTCTGTTCTCCAACAGTCCCGGTTGGAGGGCCAGTGACGATGCATTACGACTATGAAATTGGAGAAAACTATGCTGTGATTGACCTGAGGTTCTACTGCAAGGCAGCGAAGGGATCTTTTCCACGGTACCAGTGGTTCCTCAACAATACCCTCCTGCATGGTCGAGGAAGCTTCTACTATGTGGTCAACCAGCATCCAGGAGAGTCCAGACTCCTGCTGTCTGTTGGGAGGAGCAGTGCTGGAACGTACCATTGTGAAGTGTCCAACAGCTTTGACAATGACACCACCATAAGCAGCAAAAGGCTGTACATGGATAAAGAAGGTATAGTTCATACAATGATTGATTAGAGTAACAGGTGAGAACTGCACGTTTATTTCTTCTCCCTGCTCCTCCAGTGCTAAATCGTTTCCCTGTCTTGGTGGTGGCAGTTGTCTTTGGATGTTTCACAGCCCTGGTTGTCCTGGTCTCCATTTGTTGCTGCATTGGAGGGATATACAGTGAGTGTCTGTCATGTTTTTATCTGGTAATGTGCCAACTTTGTCTTTGCTTCTGTGAGATCATGTTTTTTTTTGCTCTTGTTTCAGGGCGAAGGCAGTACGGAGAGAAGACTCCGTGAGTTTTTTCTCTGTTCAATTCCTACACAAAATACTCAGTGCTTTGGTAGCTCATCTGGTAGGTGTTGCGCCAAATGTATGAAGGCTGAGTGGTTACTGCAGTGGCTCGAGTTAGATTCCCCTCTACCCTCCCTGTTCCTTTCTCTCTCAAAGTTGTCACTTTCAACCAAAAGCAGACATGCCCAAAAAGAAAAATGATGACCCGATTTCACATAAAGCTGTCACTTCCTGTTGTGAAGAGAGAACTGTGCTTCTTATTCCCCAGGAAAGAATAACATGTCGTCAGTTCATCAACCATCAGCAACTGAAAATAAACAATGGCCTATGCTATGTGAAGAAAAACAACACACCCTGCTTCCATGCTGGGTGCCATAAAACCACAACTTTCATAGAAGGGTCCAAAACATCAACAATAATGTTAAATCCGGTTCATCTATGGTTTTGTGGGTTTATGCTCACACATGTGAAATGACGGATGTCTAATGATATCCTGTGTTAACATGGTACACAACTCTGAACAGGAACCATAACTGGTTTTGTAATAGCTCCAAATAAAGCCTCTCGTTCACAGTTAAGACTCACAGAATCAACAGTGAGTTTGGAATACATTTTGGGATACAATAACAAAAACGTAAAGAATATCCTTTTGTAATATGAACAATGTCAGAAAGATGTGTAACATTTTAAAGTTTGAATGAGGTTTCTGAGTGAAAGTATGAAGGAGCAGTTGAAGTTGCATGAAGATGTTTCCAGTCTGAAGGGTTTCTCCATTCGTTCCTATAGGCGAACATTTGGATGAATTATGGGTAATATCTCTAGAATTAGGAAAGTTATGAATGTCCGGAGTAAAAGCAAACATGTCCTACTCGAGCTCAACATTTTGATGTTCAATTAGAGTTTCTGCAAAGTAAAATATTTTGTGAGATCTCTGGCATTGTGCTGTGTGATAAAAGTGCACATTTTAGAGTGGCCTTTTATTGTGACCAGCCTAAGGCACACCTGTGTAATAATCATGCTGTCTAATCAGCATCTTGATATGCCACACCTGTGGGGTGGATGGATTTCTCTGCAAAGGAGAAGTGCTCACTAACACATATTTAGACACATTTGTGAACAATATTTGAAAGAAATAGGCCTTTTGTGTACATAGAACGTAAGTATTAGATCTTTGATTTAGGCTCATTACATTACATTGCATTTAGCTGACGCTTTTATCCAAAGCGACTTACAATAAGTGCGTTCGACCAACAAAGTACAAACTTGAAGAAAACAGAATCATATAAGTACATCAGGTTTCATAGAGCCAAAACATTTCAAGTGCTACACTCTAAAAACAAATGCCTTGGCTCAACAAAGAAAATCAACGCAACAGTTTGCATCGATGTTTATTGTGTTAAGACAACTTCTAATGAAATTGTCTTGAAGCAACAAAGTTATTTGAGTTAGGGGAGAAGGCTTTTCCTCTACAATCAGAGGTGTTTTTAATTAACACTTACTTAATAATTGGTGGCATAAACACAAGTTTTGAAGTAGATTACTCAAAAGATTAAGATGTTCCGACTAGTTTTACCACATGATTTAAAAGGAATTTTAAGTTGTATGTACTTAATTACCATCATTGTGAACACACTTTTTTAAGTTGACAACCATTTATAAATTAAGTTGCTCCAAATATATTGTATTCAATAGTTTTTTTTCTTAGCTTTTTCATGTTTTTGCCTTTAAAGAAAGAAATTAATTGATTCCATAACAAAAATATTAGGCAATTCACTTATTATTTTTGAACTGCAGTTGTTTATTTCAACAATCAGGAGAGAAT